GACATCTGAAACACCAGTGGCGTTACAAGTGCGTTACCAGCGTTAAAGAGATTAGGAATTTGAGGATTGTTGGAGATTCAAGGATTGGGGAGATTGGGTAGGGTAATTGGGATGACGACAGGGTATGAAAATTAAAAATCTAATTACTCCGTAAGTTAGGTATTTAAAAATATTAGACACGTATTTTTTTATTTTGTCGTATAAATAAACAATACTTAGATAAAACGAATCAAAGTTTAGGAGTGGGGGCTAAAACGTCATTTCTATGTATAAAATGTACATAAAAGTGACGTCACACGACATTTCAAATCAATATATCGTGGAAAGTATTCGTTTCTGTAAGAAAATAAAAAATACGTGTGTAATGATTAAAAATATTCTACCAGACGGACATTAAAATAAAAATTAGTCGTCTACCCTATTGGGCCTCCGGTAACCTCACTCACACGACAAAACACACCGCAAGCGTTGTTTCACTTCGGTTTTCTGTTCGGCCGTGGTATCACTCCTGTCGCGCCGGCCCATTCGTGCTTCGCATGGCTCTCCCATACTTGATGTTTTGTAGTTGGAATTGGATAAAAGATAATGTTTTAAAAAGGATTTTGAACTCGATATTTTTCATTGTTGATACAATATCATATTTGTCTCTTTACATAGTAGCTAGGTTTTGCCATAACCTTAACGGTCAGCGGGCAGTTTTAATATTCAGGTTTTTCAGAGAGCGCTTCCATGTCTTTAAATGAGTTGTCCCTTAGTCGTGGTGGCCCGGAGGTTTAAGACGATGACACTCGCTTCACACGCATGAGGTTGTGGGTTCCAAACCTACCAACGCTACATCCCAATGTGACTATTTCCGAGCTATATGTAGGTATTTACTCAGATTATTTAGACACCACTGACAAACGGTGAATTAAAAACATCGTGGGGAAACCTGGACTTGTAATTTCTAATTATAAGTTTGAAATCGCCAACCCGTATTGAGCAAGCGTATTGATTAATGCTCAAATCAAATCACTTTAAGCATCTATAGTGTATACACCTGGTTTACAATTTCTTGACATAATGTGTTCTAACTATAGGCCTTTTTGGGCACCGCAAAAGTACTTACTACTCAAACCTTCTCCGTGTGAGAAGAGGGCTCAAGTCAGTAGTGGCCACTTATAGACTGTTGATGATGTCCCTAAGTCGACTCGCACGACATCTATGAGAAAAGTAGAAGCTGTATCGTCTATTCATCATTCTTGGATGACATTTTGAAGCTATCTAAGTCGCAATACGACCTCCTAATTCTCCTCTCCTCCCTCCTCGCTCCTAATTGGGTAGTTTCCAGTGTACGAAAATAAAAATCTAATTAGTTCGTCAGTTAAATAATGAAAAAGTATTAGACACGTATTTTTTTATTTTCTCGTATTATGTTGCAATACTTAGTTAAAATGGCGCTAAGTTTAGTAGTGGGAGGTCGTTACGTCATAACGTGCTACAAAATGTGGCACGCTATGACGTCACACGATATTTTAAATTAATGTATCTTCGAAAGTAATAATTTTGTGAGAAAAAAAATACGTGTCTAAAGTTTTAAATTAATGTACCAGACGGACATTTTAATAAAATTTTGAAACTACCCTATTAAACTGTCAAACACCGCGAGGACACCGGTGACCGCAACCTATTGTTCTATAATTGTGTCTATAATGACGGTACTCGACGAGTTAAGGCAGTTGTTACACCTAGCACAAGCATATAACACACACACCTCTTCAATAATATAACAAAAAGGCAAAATTAATATGAGATATAATATTTAGCATCATACAAAGCGACCTTGACTCCCTGACTGACCTTGAGCTTGACCTCGAGGTGAAATCGATTGTCATAGTGAGTTACGTAAGTTGCGTACCGAGTACCGACTGAGTAGGTGGGAGACAATTATAAATAATTAGCTTACTGGGAAATGACACGTATGTAATATATTAGGTATATTACTAGCGACCCGGCTTCGCACGGGTGCAATATGCATGTATTGTACATATAAACCTTCCTTAAGAATCACTCGACCTATTAAAAAAACCGCATCAAAATTCGTTGCATAGTTTTAAAGATCTAATCTAATCTCATACACAGGGACAGACAGACGGCGGGTAGCGACTTTGTTTTGTACTATGTACTGATTATATCTGACATATATAGCCACTAGTTCCTTTCGCGCAGTTTCACCCGCTCTGCTCGGCGTCTATTGATCATAGCGTAATTTTTATAACTTATAACCTTTCTCTATAAATTGACCATCCAACACAAAAATAATTATTCAAATCGGACCAGTATAGTTCATGAGATTGGCGCGTTCAAGCAAACAAACATACAAAATCTTCAGCTTTATAATAATAAAACGCTACTTCCGCGCGGATTCACACGTTCTGGTCAGCTCCTATTAGTCGTAGCGTGATATTTTATAGCCTTCCTCGATAAATGCGCTATGCGACACAAAAAGAATTATTTAAATCAGACTTGTACTTACGGAGATTAGCGCGTTCAAACAAACAAACATACAAACTCTTCAGCTTTATATTGTAACTAACTTTTGCCCGCGACTTCGCACGCGCAATACCGCTTTTCCCGTTACTAAAAAAAATGTAGTGGATAAAAAGTATCATATGTCCGTCTCCTGGTTCTATTCTATGTGTCTAAGCTACCACTTGACCAATTTTCATCAAATAGATTTAGCCGTATATGTTTCTAAGTTTCTAAGTAAAACTTGTTATGTCAAAATACTACTATTCTGCCTGCGCTATTTCCGATCTTCAAAATACTACCTACTCCTTTGTAAAAGTAGATTCTTCTATGAAAGACCAACAAAGCATTGTTGCGAGTGTCCATAAGTGGCGTCCATCAGCGTCAGATACATCAAAGTCAAAGTCAAAGTCAAAGTCAAAGTCAAAGTCAAAGTCAAAGTCAAAGTCAAATCATTTATTTCAATTAAACCATAGTTTGGTACTTTTGAAACGTCAACAAATACAAAATAAATAATAGTCTGTCAGTCAGTCCGTCCATCTGCTCGTTTGCCGTGTATTTCATAAAAGAGCTACCAGCTACCCTGGACCACCCCACAGAGGTTGGTCTCAATTTTACGTTTCATCTGTATTACCAGTTGCATTTATCATTGATAATGGTCAGTCTCTATTGGTCAGTCTGTCGATAAAGGCTACTATAGGTAGAAATTAAACATATTATTGATTTTGTACGGAGCTTGTAAAATTTCTATTTTTTTTATGGCATAATCCGGTAAACGAGCAGACGGATCACCTGATGGTAAGCAATCGGCGTCGCCCATGGACACCTGGAACACCAAAGGCATTACAAGTGCGTTACCGGCCTTTTGGGGATTAGGAATTTGAGGATCGTTGGGGATTCAGGGATTGGGGAGATTGGGGAAGGGGAGGGTAATCTATTTCTCGGATTCCAAAATATTTAACAACAGACGAGCTTTAAACTATTCAAAAATCGAACATAGAAATTCCATGGTCCTCATATTATCTAAATATAGAAAGAGAAAGTGATATTGTACCACGTATCGTTGTCCTTTTTGAGCATAATGGTACATTTAATGGCATACATAACCTTTTACGTGAGTATTTTATGAGATTATGTAATGGTTATTGTATAATAGTGATAGATACGTTTCGTTGTGTGTGGTCTATGTACACACGGCCACACATCAACCTATACAAAACCAGTTTATCCTGGTGTCGCGTCGCATCATCTTTCCGGACATTTAACGTTCAGTTTATACTGGTTATGTAAAGCTCGATGTGTAGCCGTGTGTATTACTAGCTATTATCCCCGAATTTGTTCCCAAAATTCAAGCTTTGTATGTCCTTCTCTGTCTGTACTCCCAACAATATTATAAGTATGAAAAATTTTAATATGATTGGTTGAATCGATATAACGTAACAAACGAATAAACAAAGAAACACTTTTCTCTTTTTTTATGGTAATTTTAAGTGTGGGAGAGCCATGCTTCGGCACGAATGGGCCGGCTCGACCGGAGTGATACCACGGCTGAACAGAAAACTGACGTGAAACAACACTTGCGTTGTGTTTCGTCGTGTAAGTGAGGTTGATCTCCAAGATTCCTCAAACTCCTAATCCCTAAAATTCCGTAAACGCGCTTGTAACGCCTCTGGTGTCTGGTGGTGTGGTGATCCGACCGACGAACAGGGGGCTTAGGTACTCTTGAATCCAATTCCGATCGATCGACATTGACATTGTGAAATTTCGTACTCTTGAGTTGCAAAACTAGCGCCCATTACATCCGTATTTCGTGAATATTGATTGAACTAATTGGTATTGAGTTTGGCTTTATATTCCGTACTCTGAATGCTACTTTAACAGCTACGATAGGGGTTGCACAATTTTGATATTGGATAATTATTGAGATTTTATTGGATTGAAATTGAATTGACATTGAGATTGGTTTCAAGAGTAAGCACCCAGATTGTTTTCCGTTTAAAGTAATCGTAACGAGTACGCGTTCGACGCTGTGATTGGTTGGTTCATTGGCGCCGGCCAATCAGAGCGCCGAACGCATACTCGTTTCGTATACTTTAAACGTAAATCAAACTCGTACTAAGCCTCTGTTATCGGATCTCTGCGATACGTCGTGGAGAGGTCACAAACAAAAAATATATAAACAAAATTATTTTTTTATTTGTAATAATATAAAGTACTAGCTACTTTCGCGCGGCTTCACACGCTCTGCTCAGCTCCTATTGGTCGTAGCGTGATGTTTTACAGCCTACAGCCATGCTCAATAAATGCGCTATCCAACACAAAAATAATTATTCAAATCAGACTTACGGAGATTAGCGCGTTCAAACAAACAAACAAAAAAACAAACTCTTACGCTTTATAGTATAATAGTATAAAATTTGTTTCTATCGCATTAAGTAATTATTACTTGTAAATCAAGGCATTATTTTAATATGTGGTTCTGCTTGTTCCAGCAAGGTATTGGGGTGGAGCTGGTGCGCGCGCTGGACAGCCATCCGCCCAACATCTCCAATGTCTTCTGCGAGTGCGACTCCAAGGATGACGTCGTAAGTAGCCTATACTTCTTAACATATTAGATGACGTGTTGGACAATAATTTATTTATTTTATTTATTACAACACCTTACAATATGACATCTTACAGTTTATTCCAATGCAATATCATATTTCCTGACATCATGTCCGACTCTAGCGAAGCCTTTAAATGTTTTTATCGGCAGTCAAAGCCTTAATTACCTACATAAACTTTTAGAATACGCCCAACTTTTCGTCAATTAATTTTATTTGATATCTTAAAGTCCTTCGACTAGTTCATCATTGTCATTGTTTGTCAATGTCAAGTTGTCAATTTAATTGTAAACCTAAACATAACATAACCCCATCTTTATCCCCGAAAAGGTAGGCAGACATGCACATTATACACTGTACAATGTAACACCCACTTTTCACTATCTATGTTATGAGTCCCATATAATAGGGGGTGAGCTTTTTGCCATATACCGGGCAAATTTCCAAACTCCGTGCTGCTACTGAGATTTTTTTAAAAACCCAGTAATACTTTGCCTGACCCGGAATCGAAGACCCCTTGCCCGGCAGTCGCACTTGCGACCACTCGGCCAACTAGGCAGATTATAAACCTAAACTAATAGATATAAACCAAATAATAAGTAAAAAACTAGAGCTAACGTTTGATTGAGATAAAAGGGAGTATTCTTACGACACTAAGAGTTAAAACACATAACCGTGTTGCGTCGCCATAACGCTAAAATCGGCGGTTTGCGTTGCGGCGTTGCGGCGCCGTGAAAAAATTAAGCGTTTTATTGTCGTTCGGTAGGGTAACCAGTTCCTCGTGATTTTTTGAAAGAAAGAAAGAAAGATATTTTATTTCGCAAATATGGGTAACATATCATGGTAGTGCATAATAAAAAATACAGAAACAGCCATATTTTGCCAATTATAAGGCATGCAAAAGTTTTACACATTTTACAATTCAAGACAATAATTCTAAATAATATCATTCAATTTATAAATAATTCTAATAATTTATCAGTCAATAATATAACTAATGTCACAATTTCTAATAATTATTCAAAAAAACAAAATATAAAATAGTCAAACAATTTCTTTCTCCAATAAAAAATCTGCAATACTATAATAAACTTTGCCAAGTAAAAAATTCCTCAGTCTTTTTTTAAATAATGACACATTATATTCCTTCCAACAGCTTGGTATTTTATTATATATTACCGGTGCCATGCAGCAAACTCCCTTGCGCATCAAAGCTGTTTTAGCCCTGAGGACCCTTGGCCTTTTTATTGTGGATAGACGCGTCTCTGCCATGGACCATCGTGAAAAACTTCTTATTTGTTATTAGGAAGACATTATTCTGCTATGCTGGAACGAGTGCTGCGTTGCTGCGCCGCGCCGCACAGTCTGCGGCTGACGTGTAGTCCCACAGACACCGCGAAATACAAAATCACGTGTTATACCGTCATTTTTCAAATACGAGCATCACTGCTGCGAGTACCTTACTGTATAGTGCTCGCTATACTTTAATTCTACAAAAATATTTGCTGTTGAAATGGTGTCTGGTATACTATACCTCAGTTGAATTGTAACAATTTAACCACGTCAGTTGCAGAGGGTTAAATCGGTAGTGACGCTACTGTCGATCCTAGCGGCGCGGCGCCGCAACGCCGTTGTGTTTTTTGGCCGTAAAACTACTGAAAGTGACCTTTCAGTTCTTATGAAGAACTCTGTTTAACTATAGTATTTGTATACAAGTAGTTAAGTAATGAATGGTGTACGTGTCATGTTCGTGAACGGGCGCTGTCAACTGGGACTGGTCAGCTTCAGACTGTATTATTTATTGTCCTTAAGGTTATTTTTCTTTTTCTTTCTCCTTGACTGAATATTGGTGTTACATTGTTCTCACATAATTTAATCAAAGACAATGTAACCAAGAATTGTATTGTAGACCTGGTTGAAAAAGAGTAAACTATGGAGTTTCTTGTTCGTTTTTTTCCATAATTAAGTGTAGATTCCATTTTGGAACGAGCAAATAGCTTCACTAGAATACTAATCGATAGACGGATTTTTTTAAATATTTCAAAATTTTGTTTTGACTTTTAAAAGTGGCTTCCTGATATAATTGAAATAAATGATTTTGACTTTGAATTCATAGGGTTGGTTAAAATTGTGGAAACATCCAGCATCGCTGTGTCAAGATTGATTTAAAATATATCTACACTTTTTTTACGGAATAGGAGGAAACCGAGCATACGGGTAAGCGATCAGCGATATCAGATATCGATATAAACTTAAGAAAAAATCTTAGAACGATTAGAAGATAGTTCATTCCATTCATTATAAGAACTATAATTTATTAAGTAAATAAATAAAAAACAATATCAATAAACATAGAAAAAGTAAAATTACAAAGCGCTTAGCAATCCCAAGCACTTCCGTAGTAAGTTCGTAGTATTCAACAACCACGAAAAATCCCAAAAATGTTAACAAAATCGTAATTTTACTAAAAAAACAAAAGAAATTCTTAGGGGACACCCGGATTTGAACCGGGGACCTATCGATCTGCAGTCGATTGCTCTGCCACTGAGCTATATCCCCGATGACTACAAATGCCAAATACGGGTACATAGTCGGGACGTAGGAAGAATAATAACCAAAATGTCTAGACCTATCGTATTGTTCTAAGCTATTCACGCAGTCTTCTAGATAAGAGGTCGTGTTAAAATAGTTGTTTGTGTCATATCGCCAAGGGGTGAATGAACCTCTTTATCGAGAGTTGACATAGACATAAATTACTTTTGTTATTTTCTTAACGAATAGTGTTGTCATAGGAAAAAATAAGGATTTTATTTTTCTTGTTGTTTGCTAGACTCTTTGGAAGTTTAGTTAGGTACTTATTCTTTGGTGTTGTTTGTCTTTTTGGTATGATTAAATCGATATTTTAGCGCGATACAGAATTTATTTAGGAGAGTAATCGCGATTGCTTTAGCGTAAATCCTTTTGTAGTATGAAATGGATATGTACCTTTGTAGCATTGTAGTAAAAAGAAGCAGAATTCTTTGCCAGAGTCTGTATTTCCTAAAGTGTATATATAATCTGGGTGTCTTCAAGACCCGAGTGAATAGGTTGCTTTTGGGACGAGTGCTCCATCGTAGACCGCATCATCGCTTACCACCAGGCGAAATAGAGGTCAAACGTCGGTCCATCAAATATAAAAAATAGCTATTACAAATATAAACACTATAATTATATTTCTTACATTTTCAGACGATCACATGTGATTGTGAAGCCACCCCCGCCTTTCAACTGAAGGCCTTCAGCCAGCGAGGTGAGAAAGTGGAAGTTTCACATTACAGAGTTAATGTCAACCGGTAAGTTTCAATTATAACCAAAGAACTACACTATACCAATATTTTTTTTTTTTTTTTTTTTTTTTTTTGGGGTGTCCATTAACACTTTTCTTATTGTCTCTATTAAGGGGAAGACACTTTGTTATTGTGTTCTTTGCCGGTAGCACTCACTACTTTACACTAACACTTCACTATGTTAACTCAAAAGGTTTTGTCCTTTTTAGCCTTCTCACTATGTCCGTGTTGTCGAGGAGCTGGATAGCCTCGATGTTCACATGGTGGTGAAGCCTTCGCTCATGGGCTTCTGCACACTTTTTAATTATATCTATGACGAGGTCTACTTTGAGGTCCCGATGAAGGTCGTCATTTCGAATGTACCAGGGCGCATTGACGATTCCTCTGAGTACTTTGTTTTGAAAACGCTGTATAATTTTGATATTGCTTTGTTTGGTACAGCCCCAAAGCTGAATACCATAAGTCCATACAGGCATGAGGACTTGTTTATATAAAAGAACTTTGTTGTGCACTGACAGCGAAGAATTTTTTCCTATCAGCCAGTACATCGACTTGTAGCGTAGATCTAGCTCGTCGCGTTTCTTTTTGACATGAACTTTCCAGCGAAGCTTTACGTCTAATGTCATGCCTAGGTATTTGGCTGTATTTTCGTATGGTATTACATGGCCATTTATGTTTACCGGGTGGTAATTTGTCCTTTTGTTTGTGAAGTCTATGTGAACAGATTTTGATTCATTTAGTTTCACACGCCATTTTTTTGTCCAGTCAAAAATGATATTGACGGCTGTTTGAACTTTTTCCACTGCTTCTTCTTGAGTGGCACCTATGGCCATAATAGCTGTGTCGTCTGCAAATGTGGCAATGGTATTGTTTTCTAATTCAGGAATATCGCAAGTGTACAATAAGTACAAGACGGGACCTAGGACGCTTCCTTGCGGTACTCCAGCTTTTATTGGTTTGAGTCCTGAATATGCATCACCATGTCTTACTCTAAACATACGCTGTGATAGATAAGACTCTAAGATGTCAGCAAATTGCTTAGGGAGCATGTTTTTTAATTTGTAAATAAGGCCTTTGTGCCATACCTTATCGAATGCTTGCGCTACATCCAGGAAGATCGTGGAGCAAACTTTTTTTTCTTCTAGAGCCTTTTCAATAATGTTGGTAATCCTGTGTACTTGATCTATAGTCGAATGTTTTTCCCTAAAACCAAATTGGTAGTCAGGGATCAAATTTCTTTCTTCTATGATGGGTTTTAGTCTTTTTAAAAGAAGCTTTTCAAATAATTTTGACATTGTCGGTAGCAGCGAGATCGGCCTATACGATGTTGTTTCGTGAGGTGGTTTACCAGGTTTTGGTATCATTATAACTTCGGCAACTTTCCACTGATCAGGTACATACTGAAGTCTTAACGTTGCATTGATATGAGTCGTAACTTTTACGATGGCTTTACGTGGGAGGTTTTTAAGAACTTCTGCAGTAATAAGATCGTAACCAGGTGATTTCTTTAATCTAAGGCGGTTGATTTCGTTGTACACTTCTCTAGGTGTTACGAATTTTATTTCTTGCTCATCATTATTTGATGTTTCATTTAATAAGTCGCTATCTTCATGCTCTTCATTTGGCTCAAAAATGAGTTCTAGATGTTTTGCAAACCTTATAGCTTTTTGCTCGTTGCTTATTGCCCACCGCTCGTTAATATCTTTGATAGGGGGAATGTGCAGAATTGGCTTTTTTAAGCTTTTCATAGATTTCCACAGAGAGTAATCTGTCGTGCGATGGCTGGTTAGTTGTTGTAGATAACTATTCATTGATTCGTCTTTGTAATTCTGAATTGCTTCACTTAGTTGTTTTGTAAGGTTGTTCAGAATTCTTTTATCTTGTGGATATCTTGTCTGATGCCATATTCGTCTCTGTCGCCTCTTTTCAGCAATAAGTTTTGTGATTTCTGCTGGATAGTAGGTAATTCTATTTTTTATTTTAAAGGTGGGCGTGTTTTTCCAGGCGCATTGTTGTATTTGTGTTATAAACTCACTGATATCCCAGTCCAGATCTTCTGGTTTCTTGAGTGGGACTCTTAAATCTATCATAGACTCCAAATCTATTTTAAAGCTTTCCCAATCAGTGTTCTTGTTTACCAATGTGGGGTTGTATTCTTTCAGCAAGATAGTCTCACTTAGAGTAAGTAATATAGGTGAGTGGTCTGAACTCATATCATAACCTTCTTCAATGCGAAGAAGACTAGGTGATATATTTTTGTAAATAAAAAAGTCTATAAGATCAGGAATCTTTTTTGTATCAGTAGGCCAATAAGTGGGCTTGCCTGTTGATAAAGTTTTACCTTGTGTTTCTTCAATGGCGCACAGTAGCTCTCTGCCTTTGGTCGTTGTCAGTCGAGATCCCCAAAATGTATTTTTAGCATTAAAGTCACCTCCCAATATGTATCTGTTTCCAAGACAGTTAAGAAAAGACATGTACTGATCTGTTTTTAGTGAATACCTAGGTGGACAGTATATGGCTGAGATGGTGATAAGACAGAATTTTGTTTTGACACAGACAGCCACTGCTTGTATTTCTTCTTTTTCATGTTTCAGTTTTTCGTAGTGAAAAATATTCTCTTTTATGATGACAGCACTACCACCTCTTGGTGTGTTATGAGGATGCAGTGCATGATATACTTTATACCCTTTAATTTGGATATGAGATTCTTTAGTGAAATGTGACTCTGATATAAGGCACACATCAATTCTTTCCATATTTAGGACTGCCGTAAGTTCATTCTGATGTTTCAGCAGTCCATTTGCGTTCCATGCCATAATTCTAAGTAAACTAGCCATTTATACTGCTTTTTCGTTGTTTGGCAGCTGTTTTAGTGCTGCTTTCAAGTTTTTTCAGCCTTTCGTCGAATGTAGTTAAAAGATTTATAATAGTATTAATCTTTTCATCCATGTTAGGGTTTATAGGTTTCATATGAGATTGTGGCAAAGATTGGACTCCTTTTGCCATTTGTGCATACGAAACACTTTTGGTGACAAGGTTGGTGACACTAGGTATTTTGTGTTTGATTATACTTGGACCCTGAGAGTTTGGTATCGGCTCATGCTTTTTGGTATTTTTATTTTTAATATTTTGTAGCTCTTTAGCTACTATGCATCCTCTATAGTTAGCCGGGTGGGGCTCACCACAGTGAATACATTTCGGTTTTGCTTCTGCAGGTTTATTGCAGTCTCTGGTTAGGTGCTTGCCTGTACACTTCACACATCGGGGTTCTTTGGAACAGTATTTCTGTGTGTGGCCATATGCTTGACACCTTTTGCATTGTGGAATTAATTTTGAAGTTTTTAAAGGCTGTATATCTACTTTACAGCCCAGTATGGATTTGATTCCGTAGATTTTCTTTATGTCTTCATCCTTTTGGAATGAGAGCATGAACATACTGAGGGGCTCTTTGCTCTTCCAACTCAGTTTGTTAACAGCATCTTCTATTTTAAATCCTTGAGCTGTCAGATCTTCAATTATTCTATTTGGCAGGCAGGAAGAATGAAGGTTTTTTGCCATCACCCTGATCGGCCTATCTTGTTTATTCTCATACGAGTACCAACAGCAATTATTCTGTAACAATAGCTTGGTGATGGATCTGTATGAGTCATCATTATAGGAGTTAATTTTAACTTTTTCTCCATTCATCATTTTCGTAACGAAAGAGTCTTTCGTTACATTAGTTGAAAGAAGGTCGTAGAACTCTTGGTAGTTCTTGACATTTTCCACAACTATAGGTGGTGGTGTGGGCTGTTTCTTTATTTTAGCTTCTTTAGTTTTCTGGCTAGGATCGTCTCCTTGTTGAGTTGGTGAGGACAGTGATGACGAGTTCAATTTCCTTTTTTTTCTGCTCTTCTGTCGTACCCACTCTGTTTCCTTTGCTAGTTCTTCTTCGTCTGTCTCATACTCGATTGGCATTGGCTTCTCGGTAGTGACATTTTTCTTGTCTGAAGTTTTTTGCTCCTGGATGGTTTTAAGCTGATGCTGTAGTTGTTCTAATTGGCTTTTGAGGTCATTTACTAAACTTTGCAACTTTTCGCGTTCTAACTTTTCTTCGGTATAATATTTATACAACAGATGTTCCGTTTCAGTTTTGATTTTAATTGAGGATGACGAAGCCATGATTATTAGAATAACTTCGCCTTAACAATTTGTTTATACAAATAATTGTGCAACACTTTCGGTAACTGGGTCATCGCGGCGACCGCGCACGGCTAGAGGTAATGAACGGTAGGCTGCTGCGTCAGCGCTACACTTGAACATAATCTAGCACGAGAATGTGTGCGACGCGACTGTTCTTAGCGGAAGTCGATCGATCACTGACTAAAACTAAAAAAAAACACTAATAACTAAAATAATCTCTCATTCTTCATTGTTTTATTTTTTAAATTCTTATTACGACCTCTTTATACTTTATACCTCTTTATTGGATCCGACTACAACCTTCTTGTTCATGTTGACAGATGACATTGAAACGTCACTGTCAAACTGATTTACGCGGCAATTATAAAATAAATGTTGATGAAAATCCACAAATTGTGACTTAAAATCTGTAATAGTTATTAATCTAATAACTGTTTGTCTGTGTATATATATTTGTCTTTATTAATTATATATTTTTTTGTGTATTCTAGGTTCCGCGCTCGTTTGAACGTGGTTTGTGTGACGGACAAGTTAACGGGCGAGTTAAAATGTGACGGCTGGCCCGAAGTGAAGGTGGCACTGGCGCCAGTGGGCGCGCTCAGGCCTAATGCCACGGAGAATGATCTACAACAGACTATCAGGTAATGTAATGCAAAGAGTTATAATAAGTAGGTATAGGGGAAAATGGGTAAAATGGGATAGTTTTGACTTCTAGAATTTAGTATTGAACTTTGTTAAAAACTTTGATATTAGTCCGTCAATCACACTGAAACTACTGAATGGATTATGATGAGATTTCGTTACAGGCAGGGCATGGGCTGATTTAGTTGATTATTTTTATTCCGATTAAATGCTCACATTGGGTAAGACGAATCATATTCTACGCGCAAGAAATCGAGGGCAACAGGCAGTCTAAAATAAGTGTTTTGAAAAAGATTCTGAATTGAAATCGGTTAATTATTCATTCAAAAAGTGACTGACCAAATATTTGATCTACCCCCATTTACTTGTCGCGGAGAACCTAACGGGTTACCGGGGCTCCGGCTCGACGTACAGGAGAAGGAACGGGGTGGTTTTTAGTCAGTAAGAGTCTGACACTCCCTCCTGCCTCACCCAGGCGGGATCAGTCATTCGATGATTTTCCCCCCTTAAAAAAATCCACCATTTACTTTTTTTCTCACTACCTACTTTTCCCTCAAATTCCAGTGACATAGTAGTATCAGCGCTGCGCAGTACGAACTTACAATTCAACCTGGCTCACTACCCGACGTGCCCGCGACTGCGGCGGTACGTGGAGACGCCAGGACCCAGACTGCCATTACATTATGATTCTATGGTAAGTCCGTTAATAAATTGGCTTTTGTTAGCTATCATTATAGTGTTCCTTGTGTAGGCTACGGCTTACAATACCTTCGTGTAAAGAGCTGATGATGGAGATCTGGGCGCTTACTCTTGAAACCAATCTCAATATTTATTCAATGTCAAAACTATACAACCACAATCGTAGCTGTTAAAATAGCTCTCAGATATTCACGCAATACGCATGCAATGGACGCTAGTGTTGCAGCTCAAGAGTACGAAATTTCACAATACCAATGTCGATCGATCAGATTTGGATTCAACAGTAAGCCCCCAGAGCCGTGCTATTAAAGATTTGCATGTCTTACCTGAATTTGTTGAGGAAAATTGACTATCAATTATCATCATAGTCAACACTGATTAGAAGATGTTTATTGGAAACAGGCCTCCTCTTCAAAGACAACATAAGATTGTCATAATCAGGACGCTTGCCTGTGGCTTCAGGATCATAGTTAAGTCAAAAATTCACAATCACAGAGACTTCTTGGCGACTGGGCTTCACCCAGTCGTACAGTCTCTTCTTTGTGCCTTTAGGCTTAATTCACTCTGTCTCCTGCAGTAATTCACCGAGGGAAGTGGAAACTACAGTTTTTCTTCTTCTCCTCTTATAATATCTTCTGATTCACTTCGTTGCGGGAACCAAGACAGTTACTCGTGACCCTGGGACGCGCCGGACTTCAATGTTCTGGTGTTTTCATGGTTGAATCTACTGTAGATCCTGGCTTACAGGAGTTGCAGCGGTTTTGGGAGGTTGTGGCGGGCTTGTCCCAAAAAAAAATCACAGAGACCTCATCCCCATGTTGCTTGCCAAGTATGGAGACCACGATCTCGCCGTTAATAGGAATGATCATACGTTTAACTACAAAAATCCGTTTCACAGACACCGCACTCCGTTTTTTTAAATCGCTGCCCCATATTAGGGTTTTCTCCTGTGTCGTGGGTGCGTTTACAAACATACAAGTTCACATACACATGACACCCAGACCCGGAACAACAATCTGTGGATCACGTATAGAGTTGTTTCGCTTGGGAATGGAATTCGCTAGACGTTGCACGGCAGCGATTTACCCAGCCACTAAGCCAACCGTGCATTAGTTGAAAGTTGAAACCGAACCGTGCATCCAGTAACCTCGTTCCTTGATAAGGCCCCTTAAATCCTCCGCTATCGTGGCCCATATATACCTCGTCCCCCATGGCGTTCAAGGTGTTAAGCAATACCTATGTATTTCTGTCTTTCAGCATATTTCAATAAATTAATGAAAGTAAAAATCGTCTTCCAGCTGCAACAAGACCGTCAGATGTACACGTCGACTCCAAACTCTACAGCCGGCAGCGTCACCCTGCTGGGAGACAAGAGACTGCTCGTCAAACTTGTCTGTGCTAAGGACTTGGGAGGTAAGAAGAACATTATAAGGAGGATCTTATATTATACTCTACCGGGAAAGCTATTTTGCATTTTCAATCTATTAAGTAGTACCGGAATAGTCGGGACTCTAGTAAAACATAGCGTACTCTTAAAATGGCCAATAGGGTAGTTTCCTAAATTTTATTTTAATGTCCGTCTGGTACATTTAATTTAAAACTTTAGACACGTATTTTTTTTTCTCACAAAATTAAATACTTTCGACGATATATTAATATGAAATATCGTGTGACGTCACAGTGTGCCACATTTTGTAGCACGTTATGACGTAACTACCTCCCACTCCTAAACTTAGCGCCATTTTATCTAAGTTAGTATTGCAATTTAATAAATACGAGAATATAAAAAAATACGTGTCTAATATTTTTTCATTATGTAACTGACGGACTAATTCAATTTTTAATTTTGATACCCAATTCTTTTTCCACATAATTCAGTTTGACATGAACAAATACGGACTCAAAAGGGACTAGCAATTTTTTCTAGCTTTGTAGTGTCTTTTTGCATTTTATACTTTACTGCCTTGACTTAAGGTTATTTGTTGGTATTCCAGGTAAAGCGGGTTGCGTAGCTCCGTACTGCGTGGTGGAGATGGACGAGCCTCCACAGAAGAACCAGACTGCCTTCAAGAAGGACACCAACAACCCACAGTGGGAGGAACACTTCCTATTGTGAGTATACATGAGTCGCGGAGAACCTAACGGGTAACCGGGGCTCCGGCTCGACGTGCAGGAGAAGGAACGGGGTGGTTTTTAGTCAGTAAGAGTCTGACACTCCCTCCCGCCTCACCCAGGCGGGAGCAGTCATTCGATGATTTTCCCCCTTAAAAAAAAAAAAAATATATAATAATATAATAGTAAATCCATAACAATAAAGTCTAAACTTTTCTCCAGTCGTATCAAAATTTCATTTTATCTGACTCTTAAGTATAGAAGAGCCATGCTTCGGCACTGCTGGACCGGCTCGACCGGAGATACCAACGAGCAGACAACCATAATCAAACAATGCTTGCGTTGTGTTTAAAAGTGAGGTTACCGGAGACCCAATTACCTTCCACAATCTCCCCAATCCCTGAATCCCCAACAATCCTCAAATTCCTAGTCCCTAAAAGGCCGGTAATGCACTTGTAACGCCTCTGGTGTTTCGAGTGTCCATGGGCAACGCCGATTGCTTACCATCAGGTGATCCGTCAGCTCGTTTACCGGCTTATTCCACGCAATCAATGTCTGTCGTTATGTTTCCAGCGATCTGTCTCCTCAGACGGCGGAGTTACTGTTCGAGGTGTACGACCGGACCGGCCCGCCCTCGCCCGGCGGGGGACCTTCGCAACACAGGTACTATAACTTATGTAATATATCCATGATAAAAGAAAAAACCCTGTGTAAGCAAGTTCTAAAACTAAAGGAATATTACCGATAAACGTTCACAAAAAAAACATAAGAAACACTAAATAGTATATTATATTTTTATTACAAAACAAGAATTATGTAAATCGGTTCACAAATGGCTGAATAATCGGCGAACAAATAAAAAAAAACAATCAGCCGAACATAGTACCTCCTCCATTTTTTGAAGTCGGTAAAAACGAAGAGTTTGTCTCTCTCTCTCTCTTACAGCTGACTATTAAAAAACTACTTATGTTCTGTGCCAGGTTCCTAGGTCTAGGCCTGGTGGGTATAGACGAGTTGCTGGCGGCTCCGTCCCAGCGCCAGCAGATAGCGCTGCAGACGCGACCCATGGAGGAACATGACGTCAGCGGGACACTCACTGTAGAGGTACGTATAGTATACTCTTTATTTTTATTAACAACTAGCACCTGCTCGCGGCTTGGCCCGCGTTCACAGGGTTAAAAAGTAGCCTTGTAGGTAGTACTTTAGAAGATGATAATGTACCTTTCCTTTAACCTTTACCCTCTCTAAGATATTCTCCTGTGTCGTGGTTGCGTCTACAAACATACAAGTTCACATACACAGTGCAGCCAGACACGAAACGACTATTTGTGGATCACACAAAGAGTTGCTTCGAGCAAGAATCGAATCCGCGATACGTTGCGCGGCAGTTGCCCAGGCACCGCGCCAACCAGTGCAGTCAAATCACCAAAAAAGTACGACTAACTGGAATTAGCTAGCTCCACGCAGTACCTTTCCTCTCTCCACTTAGGGTTGCAACTATCTTGAACAGTGAAGTTGCCAATAAAAAAATTATCATCAAGAACACCGGGGCTTTAATTTCACAATCAGCAACCCTACAGTACAACTTTAACTCGTCGAGTACCGTCATTATAGACACAATTATAGAACAATAGGTTGCGGTCACCGGTATCCTCGCGGTGTTTGACAGTTTAAACTGAATAGCCTTTCGATATTCGGGCTTGTAACATGTATTAGGACTAATGAAACCTCCTCTTCCAGTTCCTATTCATCGAAGGCGCTGACATCCCGGACCTGGGCTCCCGTCCAGTCAAGATCAAGGAGAGTCTCCGCACTGTGTCCCCGCACGGACATCTCACTACTACCACCAAGACTATATTCAAGCAGAATGGTGAGTCGTTCAATCTTATTCAATGATTCAATATTATCTATAGCTGCTGTACGATGCATTATCATTCGTTTCTTTCAAAAACTACCTATACAAAAAAATAGACCAAAATTGAGTAGTTTACAGGGTATCAAAATTAAAAATCTAATTAGTCCGTCGGTTAGATAACAAAAAAATATTAGACACGTATTTTTTTATTTTCTCGTATTAAGTTGCAATATTTAGATAAAATGGCCCTAAGTTTAAGAGTGGGTCGCGGAGAACCTAACGGGTAACCGGGGCTCCGGCTCGACGTGCAGGAGAAGGAACGGGGTGGTTTTTAGTCAGTAAGAGTCTGACACTCCCTCCCGCCTCACCCAGGCGGGGGCAGTCATTCGATGATTATATCCCCTTAAAAAAAAGTTTAGGAGTGGGAGATCGTTACGTCATAACGTGTTACAAAATGTCGCACGCTGTGACATCACACGATATTTCAAATTAATACATCGTCGAAAGTATTTAATTTTGTAAAAAAAGAAAAAAAATACTTGTCTAAAGTTTTAAATTAGTCTACCAGACGGACATTAAAATAAAATTTAGGAAACTTATTGTGTGTCTAGAATTGAAACAATATTCGTACCACCTTCAAGATTTTTTTATGGGCCGACGTTTGACCACTATCTCACTTGGTGGTAAGCAGTGATACCGTCTACGATGGAGCAAGTCGACCCATAAGCAACCTATTCACTCGGGCCTTGAAGACACTCAGGTTATAACCCTTCAGGAAATACAGACTCTGGCAAAGAATGTTTAACCAACTTTAAAAAGAAAAAGAAAAGGAGATTCTCAGTTTGACCTGCGTATGTATAGATGTTGTGCCCAATTATCTTGCGACTTTGATGCGGTTTTCAGAAAAGTGTTACACTTAGCAAAAGTCGGTTAATTAATTAACAGACTTCAAAAAAGAAAGTGAATTGAAGTCGATTTTTTTAAACGTCGTTTATGAAAGAATTATTTATCAGACTGCCTCATTGGCCGAGTGGTCGCAAGTGCGACTGCCGGGCAAGGGTCGAACAAAGTATTACTGGGTTTTTAAAAAATTCTCGGTAGCAGCACGGATTCTGGAATTGTCTGAAATCCCGGTATATGGCAATAGGCTCACCCCCTATTACATGGGACTCATAACATAAATAGTGAAAAGTGGGTGTTACATTATACAGTGGCATAATGTGGACCTCTGCCTACCCCTTCGGGGATAAGAGGCGTGATGTTATGTTATTTATTATTATTACCTTTCCAGGCCATGACAACTCTCAACTAACAGAATCGGCTCTCCGCGAACTAGAGCTGAGCCCGACCAACGCGGCCAACAAGTCCACGCTCATCATACACTCCGTGCAAAGGGTGAGTCTATTATTTAATTTTTGACCACCTGTAGTGACATCTGTCCAAAAAGGTTGTATACGTAGACAAGTAGCGACATCTATGACAGTTGTGACAGTTTTAAGGCGTTTAAATATGTCATTTGTAATTTTAAAAGGTGTTTTTTATGAGGAAAATCTTTGACACTTGTAAAAATAAATATTGAATTAATGTCGTTTGCGAATGTCAAACTATATTCGTAGATGTCGCTAACTGTCTATTCTACATACCCATAGTTTCATTACTAGGTATTTGCTGTGTGTTTTTAGTTGTTGTTATATTCAACAAATGATAAATAATAATGAAATATTACCCATTTTTATTATATATTTGTACAAAGTTGATTAACGGAACTCGTACATTTAAAAAATCAGGGTTTAGTGTTGCCGTTGCTTTGCATTTTCTACCAAAATGGTAGAATTTTGTTTTTATTAAATAAAGGTTCCTTTAATCAATTATAATATGATTTGTATATATAGTGTGCCCCTGTGACCCACACACAAACAAAAGTACGTGCAAAAATATAAGTAACTTAGTGACATTCGATTACCAACATTATTATCTAACCAAGATAAAGCATATTATATTGTAATACATTTCTTAAAATAAATCAAATTGAGTAGTACTTTTATACAGTCTACTTATATGAATTTTACTAAGTGCATGTCCAAAATTTTTGCACGTGGCAACATTTAAGTTAACACTATGTTGTTTTTCCTTTACATTGCGTGCGTTTGCTGTGTTAATATTGTCAGGAACCGAAGAAATCAATTAAGGTGAGTTGTTTTCACGTCTGTTTTATATTCTAGCATTAAAATATTCGATAAAAAAATAAACCTACTAAATCTTAGATAAAATATGTTATAGATAAAGATAAATTAAAAATACTTCTTTGAAAAGATGCATAGATAAAAAAGTTTTATATCAAATCTGTAGTAATAACATTAATAAGTAACCATTTTAGCTTTCATAAAGTCTCGTGGTACTTGATATTTCTTACATGTTTTTTAATCCCATTTTTTCTTTTTTAAAAACCTTTTCCATACTTACTAGGATTTTCTTGTCTAGGAGTTGCAACAATGAATGTGTAAAAACATCTATCAATGTTAGTGCTTCTAGATCTAAACTAAGATTTCTAACTCTGCGTTAGAATTTAACGCTTAGAGTAACTTTTAGCGTTTCCGAAATCATTTAAAACATTTTGTATATAATGTTAATTTGTCCTTAGCATGTGTTTTCTCATTTTGGGAGTTATTTTGTGATCAGCATTCTGATTGACTGAATAAATTAATAAGGAATTGCAAAAAATAATTACTTACGCTATGTAAAACATAGAAAATCATATCTGGCACTTATAGTCTAAAATAAGTGGTTTAATAATGGAGCTAACGAAAAACGAGATACTATGTTAAAATTAGTCTTTTCTGATGTTTGTCGGTTTCACGAAATATTTCCCAAAATCCCGTGTGCTGTGTTGCCATACTAACCCCGCAAAAATCTACCAAAAAAGGTGGAAATGACGGACTCGGGGAAATTCATCGAAGTGGAGAGGGGTGAAATGGATGCCGAAGTACGTCAAGAGAGTGATGATAAATTTGATGAGAATGTGAAAGAGACAGACATATCTGTCTCAGCCAGCCCGAATGCCTCGCCCGGGAAGACCGTGAGGATCAAGGAGAACGGTGCTAAAGCCAATGGCGATACCGAGGTAACGTGTGACGATTGTTACTCCCTTTTTGAATTAATCACTAAAATATTAACTTTCCCGTTTTTAAAGCACAGTTTTTTTAGTAGTTTTGCTGTGATTTATATGTGTGTTTTGGTAGATATTTTTATCGACAACTTCGTTAATCTACCGTAAAAATTTGCAAAATATTTTTATTTTAATGTTCGGGCGATGATTATTTATTTATTGATAGGTTTATAATTATATATTTTTCCTAATTCAAAGCACTATATTTAAAAGTATAAATATACTAATGGATTAGGTTTTAATATACTTTCAGTAGGTGGGTATTGCTTATCACTTCTTAAACGTGTATTTATTTACTTTTTCCAAAATTTTCAAATAATTTTATCAATGACGAGGTGTTATTCAAATATCACTCTATCAAAATCAATTGATGTTTAAAAACAAACAAGAATAATTAAAAATTCGCATCAAGCTTCCTTGTGCGTACTTCTAAGAAGTATAATTCTTTGCCAGAGTGTATTTCCAGAAGGGTATAACCTGGGTGTCTTCAAGGCCCGAGTGAATAGGTTGCTTATGGGACAACGTTATCCAATGTAGACCGCATCATCGCTTACCCCCAGGCGAGCTAGTGGTCAAACATCGGCCCATATCGTATAAAAAAATATTTCTAATGTTTTTTGCGTACATTATGTTGTTTTAAGTATCAAATACAATTTTCTTAATACATTATTACATTTTTAATAGGCACATGTTTACATGTTACAAAATTATAGACATTTTACAGCAAGTAAGGCTGTTCCTTCAACACGAAAACAAAAATCAAATCATAATTTGACGTTTCAATATTTTTGTGCTATTGACGTCACCAAAATGGCGGTCCGTGTTTTGGCGCGTATATTTTACGACAAATTTTTGTTTTTTTTTTTTGCATAAATCAGTCATGTTTTGCTGAAATAAAAATTATACTTGATAATCAGATATATACGAACATTTAAAAAAAACAAAAAGTTGGAGAGTAGCCTATATATCTTCAAAACTTGGTACAAAAGTTCAATATTGAAAAAGTAATCTTTTGAAATATCAAAATCAAATATACGTTCCTTCCAGCAGGGTGACTACGTGCAGCAACAGAATGAGAACGTCCCGCCGGAGCCCGCGCCTCGCAAGAGGAGACGGGACTTCTTCGGTACTATCAAGAGAAGGTTAGAAATCCTTATCCTTAGAAATATTTATCATATATTTTATTAATGAATAAAGAAAATATTTGTTCACTTAATATACCAACAAATTCATCCTTTACAATATTTTCTAAGTTTTTATTAACGCCAATTAGCTGTTCAATTTCAATTCAAGAAGTTTGTTCATTGTTCTGCATAGGAATCTCACGATTCGCGAGCAAACAGCTTCCTTAGCGCACTGATCGACAAAGACACACTTTTATTGTTGACAACCAAAAGTTTATTGATTTAGTTGAAATAAATACAATTTGATAGGATTTTAAAATAAATACCTACTGTCAATATTTATATCAGCAGCTGAAGCCAAATGCCATTTATCGCTTGTCTACATGTAAAATAGAAAACCAAATTATATGGAATTGACGTAAATTTTGACACTTGTCAGTGTCATCCAAGTGTCAAATCAAATTGTACGGCAATTTCATTTCTACTCTCGCTGTACACAAGCGCTAAAGCGGTTTTTGGATAAAGACCCAGGAAGTAAATTGTTTGTTAGTCACATCACTATGTTAATTATATTGTCTTATTTGTAACAGACTGGGCCGGTCCCGCACTCGCGGTGCGTCTCTAGATCTCACGGACTCCGAGGTAGAGAACCAGAGTCGCATACGCAGCATCAGCGCAGAGAGGAATGCACATGGTGAGTTTATATAGTTTGCAAATGTTAGCCAAAATAATGAAACAAATAGTTGGATTTCACCCGCAAGGTGGACAGACGACCCAAAGGAGCTACCAGCCTATTTGTCATTCTGGGAGGTTTATTTTTATGGGATAAACCGGTAAACGAGTAGACCGGATCACCTGATGGTAAGCAATCGGCGTCGCCCATGGACACCTGGAACACCAGACGCGTTAAAAGTGCGTTATCGGCCTTTTGGGGATTAGGACTTTGCGGATTGTTGGTGGTTCAGGGATTGGGGAGATTGAGGAGGGGAACGTAATTGGGCTTCCGGTAAGCTCACTCACACGACGAAACACAACGCTGTAGTTGTTTCACTATGGTTTTCTGCTCGTTGGTGTTATCACTCCGGTCGAGCCGGCCCAGCAGTGCCGAAGCATGGCTCTCCCACACTTAAATTATCTCTATGTGTCAACGTCCTGGGCCGTAACAGTTTTGCTCATGGCTCCCTTGCGGAGATTTTGAATTTATCCCAATTAAGTATATTTATTCTGGCTACCTGTAACAACTGCCATTTATAAATGTTTGTATGATGTAGATTTATCCTTTCGATGTCGACTAATATTGTTTTATCAAATATTTAAAATATTATTGATATAATTTCCACAGAGAAAGCGCTATCCATCCCGAATAGGAACGTATACTCAGCGGGCGCGTCGCCTGCACAGTCCGGGGACGAATCCCGGACATCGAGGAGGTATGATCATTGCACCATTCTATCACATCACAAACTAGGTACACTGAGAAGGGTTCCAGGATATATTTAAGACAGTTTCTATAGAAGATAATGTCTGTAATGTCGAATTGCGTCATGAAAAATATTTTTTTTATTTATAAAACTCCACGTACACCATTATAGACCTTATTTCCGAAGTTTAGAGACTACTTTTATATGAACAAATGTTGTGGATGTTTTTTTCTTAATTGACCATTTACGAGAATAAGCCAAATGGAATTTAAGCTCTTGTTTGCCGACAGAATAAAGTCCAATATTGGGTTTCTCTATTTTTGGTAGACATGTGTTTAAACGCCCTTTGTCTTAGTACTCTTCGGATAAATAATTATTTAGGATTACATCATCACGGTGGTTGGAAACAGTGGTGTGGGGATTTGTGGAAGGCTTTCGAAGATCATTTAAAATTACTTCCATTAACTACGTTACCATAGACATTCAGTTTGGCGATGTTCCATTATCGATGTCGATTAAGTCCAAGAAATCTATTTGAAATATTTTCCTTCACCGAGTCAGTCTAAATATACCATACAATTTATGACGTTTAGTCATAAAATTAAGTCGTTTGTGTGTAGAATTTGAATTTGTAATAGATTTATGTCCAAATACTCAAATGCTACTTAATTATAAATCGCGCTTAATTATAGTTCTGTCACTAGAAATTCTTAGTACGACTTATAATTGAGTAGCCTTTCCGTATTCGGGCGTTAGCTTCAAAATAACAGATTGGCAAATACCCGAGCTTGAAAAAACATTAAAAAACCGCTTGGGTTAATCTAATTCGTAATAAACCGTAGATGCTTGGCAAGACTACATTATTTCTAATTCATAACAATTATTTTTATCATAAAGTTATATATTTTTCTTAAATTATCACTAACTTCACCGCTTAACTAAAATAATGCTGTCTTGCCATCAAAAACAGTATTTTTCCAAATTAGGAGTATGGTAACATCGACACTAATAAATGATTTTTCTCTTTTTTTCATCTGTCAACACTCACATGCGCTGGGGGTAATGGCACTCTGCAATCTGGTAACACTGGTTTTTCATACTAAAATATGACATTTTTCCATATTATGTGACTTTATATGCGTGAATGGAAATGCTTGATTTTTATTTTATTGAATTTATATTCTAATGCTTTGTGCACTATTTTACTTAATTAACTTGATTTTTATTTTATTTTTGATACGAAAACCTTCAAATATAATATTTTGGCATGATTTTTATTTATTTTCCACTTATTCGCATCTTTTCCCTTGTATATAATTCCATTCATACCCTTGCATGGACTTTCTTTCCTCGAAAAATGAATTAAACCCAAAAGGTCGTCTCTCAGTGAGGTCTCCGGATTCAGTACAGCATCAGCCAGGACCTTCATCCATGAGGCTTCGACCTTGGTCCTGGAGACCATAGAAGCTGGTATCAAGAAACACTACTTGGTGCCTCTGACCATTGCCCAGAGGTCCCGATGGAGACGGAAGGGCATCAAGCTTCATATCTACAATGAACATACTTTTATCGCCAAGCATCTTAGTGGGTGAGTTTATAGAGATTTTGTTTACATTCTTCTTTGTTCAAGTAAGGCAGATTGTTAAGCAAGGGTTCTTAGATTTACGGAGACGCGGAAGGCTTAACGAGTTGCCGGGGCTGCGGTTCGAAGAGCAGGAGAAGGAACGGGGTGGTTTTTATTCAGTAAGAGTCTGACACTCTCTCTAATCCAAGGCGAGAGAAGTAACTGGATCATTTTCGCCCCTCAAAAAAAAAGGGTTCCTAGTTTTTCAGAGTTGTGGGTCGTCAAATATCGTAGCCCCGGCTCGAAGTAGGAATTAGAACGGAGCAGTTGTTTAGCATTATGAGTTGCGAGACTCTCTCCCCCCTTTACAAAAAATGGGATTCCGTCGTTTTCGTGCTAGAAGTATATTCAGATTGAGATATTAGGAAACTTCTAGTTAGAACATAAAGTTTACAATTGTACAATTAAACGCTCGTATCAATTACATTGACCACTTTGGAGAATATGTACGAATTATTTACATACCTTAATTCATCATTCACATGTGACTTTGAAACTTCCAGTGGCACAGTGTGCGAGGTCTGCACGAAGACTATAGCGCGGCGGCTCGGCAAGCAAGGCTACGAGTGTCGCGACTGTATGCTCAAGTGCCACAAGCACTGCCACGTCAAAGTTGCCACCAACTGCCCTCGGTCCACCGTGCACAATATGGAGCTGTAAGTTCATATTTTGAAATGCTATACAAAAAACCGAATTAATAATCAATCTAATGTTAATGGTTTTTGAAAGGCTCATCGATTGAAAATACAATCTACAAATAACTAAACTTGTTCTAACTATTTACTTAGTCTGTTGGCCCTGTGCCCTTTGTAGATGTTGTCCTCCAATACAAGGTTATGCCATTCTCTCGTAGGTTTGTAGTTCCTCGCTAATGTTAGCGAAGCTCCCTCCAATAGTATTGCAAGTTAAATTTGTTACATTAACGAGCCTTTCAAAAATTAGTAGAGGTAGATAAATATTTAGGTAAACAGTCAACTAACTGTAAAAATCAATAAAATCACTACATACATATCACATTCTCTCGCGCTGCATATAAAATATCATAGCTGGCGCTGAATTTCAAATTCAACACTCATTTTTGATAAATAAATAAATAAAAACTACCAGTTTAGAAGAAGTTTCATTACCAGGCAACACTAAAATTAAAAAGGCGCCATTTTGAATTGATCTTTGTTTTTTGTATGACGGTAAGTGTTTAGCTTGTAATTGAAAGTTTATTACATATCTATTACATTATTTATTTTAATAACAAAGATAGAACATTTTACACATTATATTTAGGACATTTTAGTCATTTTAAATATCTATTAACACTTTTATCGACCTTCTAATACAGTGTAGGTGTAGCTAATTTGAGAATTTAGTAGAAAAATAAAGTTTACCAAGGTTCTATAACAAAATTTATTTTTGAAGCAAGAAATATATATTTTTTATTTTATTATAATATGCTAACTATACTACAAACAGAACTTAGTTATGACAAACAATTTTATATAAAGATGATCCACAAAATCATGCAATCTCTACTAAAATTCTCAGACTGGCAACACATAGGTTTAAACGTCAGTTCATATTCAGTATCTCTTTTTGAAATATTTTAACACACTTTAATGTTTTGTATAGTCCTCCAGTACTGTTTGAGGACCAGTAAAGGTTCAAGGTGTGTAAACAAGTAAAAGAGTCGATTCGCTTGATAATTTAAACACAGCGCATTCATCCTTGCTAGAGAAAAGACTAACATTATTTTTACGTTGCTTGGATGAAATCACTCGCGCCAGTGTCATATAACTTTCATTAAACTAAAATTTAATTCAGAACACAATTTTAGATAACTACTACAAAATTATCACTTTCTCTTTTTGCAAGAAGAAACCAGAAATATACACAAAATCACTTTAATTGATTATAAAATAACGTAGCTACATGAGTGCCTATTGTACCACCATTGTATTACCATTAACTTATAAGCTGTACTTTTTTTCGATGACGGGGGGAAACCTTCAAAAGGCGCTTAACTTTTTGGGGATAAAAGACTAGGGAGTGTGGCATTTTTACCTCACTAAAACGTGTGGTTTTAGTGAGGTAAAAATGCCAACGGTGACCACCCTCAACACCTTTATGGAGGCACCGGGTCCTCTAAAAGAGACCTTCTCCGGATCCTCCACCAGGTCAAGAAGATCACAAGCTAATAATAACGGATTTGTCAAATATTATAACACAGGTCGCTATTCTCATGACATCTGTAGTTACACTAGTACATGTAATTTTAACATTATATTAATATTCAGGTGTATTTTATTCAGAACATAAGCTTATACTATTGCCTTTCTAAAGTAATGGCATTCGAATTTCCATTTCGGCAATTCTTTAACGCATTTTGATATACCCAATTTACCTTTGTTTCACTGAACTAAAGATGGTATTAAAAAAATGTCAACAACCGTTAACAGAGCGTTGGGTTGTTAAAATGTGTTAATTTTTTTCAAATGTAACTTTAGTATATTTTTACATTCATCACAGATTACCAAAACCCTAATAAAAAAAATCTAAAATACGTGATAGATGTAAAAATATACATTTAACAAAACACACGCAATTATCTATTTAGAGATATTTTACATTTTAAAGCCGACCAACAATTATTTATTTTTAAATTCAGACTTAAATATATTTTTGGCTTCCATGTTCTAAATTCAAACAAGTCGGAGTAAATAAAAATAAATATTGGTTGGTTCATTTACCTGATGGAAGCCATGCGCTTGTTTTTTGTATGAACCATTCTAACAATAATTGTTGTATCAAATTCATACAAATCCCATAATGTATGGCTTTCATACACCATCTATGCTGTATTGCTTATATGTATTTTTATTTTTAACGCTGCCCCAGGTCCCATTCCCATAGCTTTGGAAATGGAAGGTACTCGTTTAGTTTTCTATCATTTTTTAAAATATATTCTCATAGCCAACACTAGCAGATGATGAGGTCGGGTTTTTGAAAGGTTTCATAGCTTTATATTGCAATTAATTAAAAAGAAAACATTCTTTACTAATATTAAAAAATGGTACAATCTTTTATAGTACAACTTCAAGAACCCGAACCTACGTTTTGTTTTTTTGAGGCTGGCAACAACACGCGTCGTTTATTTATCAAATCACAAGATTTCATCAACAAATATTCATATAACAGAGTTTTATCTGAGAGATAATTCAAAATAGGATACAAAATCATATTAAAAAGTTAACGACTTATTTTTCGAAAGCACTATTCGACAAAATTTCATACATTTTCATGAAGAGATCACAATAGTTCTGCTTCGCTTATAAAAATGTATGTATTCACTATCATAAATTCATAATAATATGAAAGTCATGATAGTTGTATCTTCTATATTAATAGATATTTTAAAATTATTCACTCGTTGCAATAAAAAAAGGAATTTATATATATATATGTACTTGTAATTATATGTTTACTTTTTAATCTACATCTTTTCTGTGTATAAAAATACAATTTTGAAATATTTTTGAGCTTTTAAAATTAATATCGTCAATTAAAGTTGGCAATACCTATTGGGAAAGTATGGTAATTTTTTATTATTGGGTCTAAAGTAGACAACGGTATAAAAAAATCCTAAAATAATAAAAAAAATAATTGAATAACAATTATACAGACAGGTACATTGTAATATTTTTGGAATACTTGAATAAATCGGGGAGACTTGAGGGAACGCCTAAACAACTGGTACTTTCAAAAAAAAATAGCACTCATTGTGTTTCATTTTAAATGCATTAATTTGGGTAATAAAACATGTAGATTAAAAGTAAACATTCATTATATATATTTACTGTGATGTATGTATTATCCAATTATGTATTAACATAAAAATGTAATGTTTTTCTAGATCCATGCTCCCAGTGTTAAGTGAATAGTCAAGTAAAGCAAGAAGACTGCAAGAAAAAAAAATATTAAAAAAATACAAAAAAAAAAATGATTACAAGCAATTCTCACTCAGGTTCTTTAAAAATATTAAAGTTTGTAGTCGTCAATATTTATTTTGCGTTTTCGTGTGATTTTTTTATGCATGGCATTTATTTTTCATTTGCCTTTTAACTTTTTTAGGAAAAAATTTAACGTTTTTTTCGTCTTATGAATATAACTGGCTTTTGTGCATGATTTTTTTTTTATATAAACCTTCGTTTTTTTTCATTAACGAACTGCGATAGTTAATTTTTTTATCTAATTTTCGCTGAAGGAAAATGTTTTCGAATACCTTTTTAGAATATAGATTAGATTTTTTTTTTCATATAAGCGTCCTGCTGTTTATGTTGTTTTATTTTAAAGTGATGGGAAAATACTGTCTAATTAAGAAAGTACTATACAGTCGTTCGTTAAAATATTACTGCACGTTTTTACTGTACAAAAAAATAAGAATCGAGTATATCGAAAAATAAAAATATAGTTTTTCTTTATTCTCCCATCAATTTTTTTATATGTCGTCTGCATGCCTAAATGTGTCTATGTAGTATATGTAGGTATATGTTGTTATATGTTGTTACAAGCTGTACATTTGTTTACAGATGAGGTGTTACTTTGGCTGAAGTGCGCAGGATATAAATATACAAAACAGTAGGTATAATGCGTTTTGTATTCCATTCAAATACTAAAAACGAAAAAAAAAAACATCACAAAAAAATATACCCGCACACATCAGCTAAATTAACATTTCAAAATAAAAAAAAAAGATTTCAATTTTTTTATATATTTTTTTCTGTTTTTTCCAGGACTTACATCGCATCTCCGTACGCAGATAAAAATATAAGGATGTTGTGATTTTTCATGAGAGTTACATAGCTTGCGAAGTGCACAAAGCATCGATTTCAAACATAAATACTTAAATTATTAAAACATAAGTACAACACGTATATACCCAGCTGACATACGATATAGGCTTTTTTACATATATTTATATGAAAAAATGAAGTTTAAAATTAGTGTTTAAGTGGAAAGTAGGACTTTTGAGCGTCGCTGACTTTTTGAGAATCTTGAAAAATGTACCCGCTTGACACTGTTGGATGAAGTTTTATTCAGATGATATATTATAATGCTCTTGTATGAACTATGATGTAAGATATATTGACAGCTGTAACACACACTCGTCTGTTACGCCGCTACCGTCTGAGTAAATCAAATTCCTGGCGCTAATTGTTAGAATTAGTTTAGGTATCGCTAGAGCCCACCATCAAAGCCAATTTCGAAAAATATTAGATTTCATTACCACATAATTCTTTGATAAACGATTAAAGTTAAAATGTCAGCCAAAATTTTAAGAATTTTTACACAAAATTTTCTACCTCATTTCTTCAAAGTTACAATATTAAATCAATTTTATAGTTACCATTATTTCTTTATATTATTATTATTTTTGTTGTTGACAACACTAAATGTTTTATTGTAAAAAAAATGAAATTGTATAACTCGAAATATTTATTTTTTAAGTTTAATACTTAAATGTGCTTTTTCGCACAAAATTGTGATCTGTACTCGTCGAATGTGCAATAAGTCTAATATTTAATAATATACACGCGCTTTGAGCTTTCAAATTTATACCTTACTATCTTAGGAATTAATATTTGGCCATAACTAGACAGTGACCACCTTGTAGACTTTTCAAATTGTAACTGAGGATTGAAATATATCAAGACCAACATTTTTTACAACAATAAAAAGACGAATGTCAAAAAATCGACTAAACTGATATGTCAGAATCGAATAATCGATACTGCAATTTTATACTGTCCCAGTAATTTTATTTAGATCCATGAGTGATGTAATTTGAACAGTCCTCAGTATAATATAGAATTTTACTCGTATGTAAGTATGTGTATTGTTGATTTTTTGTTCATTAGAGTGACTGACTGTAAAAGTATCTTGCTACAAATATTTTGTGCCTTAGTTTCCCTCCTACCCGTATAAGGCATAAAATAAGTCTTAAGGCCTAGAAATTATGGTACTAAATACAGACTGCGTTAATCTCAAGTCGCTAGAGATTTTAGTCGATTATATTGCCGGGATGTGCCTAATTTTTTGAAAAATCGACTAATTGTAATCGAATATTTTGTTTTTTATTTTAAACTAGTCGAATAGTGTTGTCTGTCCAGTACATAATATTTGTAGCACAAGTTGTTTTTTTTAAGTTACAAAATAAAGGTTCTTAATAATTAAACATGACAATCTGTAGGTACGTGTATCTTGTATACTAAGTGTTAACACATAAAGTTTTATGTGGATCCGTATATAAATATACCATAATATAATATATTATTATTTATAAATGTTGCGCTATGTGTTCTGTCATTTTATTTTCCTCTTTTTTAATAAAATGCCTTTTTTTCAATGTATTGTTTTATTTATTTAAATGTCTGTTTTCTCCAGCAAAATCAGCCTGAGATCTAACACCCCGTTCCTACTCTTGCACTTCAAGCCGGAGCCCGGCAACCCGTTAAGTTCGCCGCAGCTCCGTATCGGCATCAGTCCTATTGGGCCTCATCCGTGGTGATCTGATGGCTCCTTGATTCAGCCCATATAAAAAACCCAGTAATACTTTGCCCGACACGGGAATCGAACTCGAGACCCCTTGCCCGGCAGGCGCACTTGCGACCACTCGAGGAACGAGGCAGGCAGTTGCAATATGCTACACAATATAATGTATTTATTATATAAATATGATTTTAGTAAACTAGTCAATGCTGTGAAATATAAATAAAATGTGAATCTCGGATAGTTTGCATTATACACCATACTTCTCCCGAGGTATGAACTCCTAGGTTCATGATATATGTATATGTAGGTATAGTAACAATTGAATTAAAATTGGGTAGGCATGTAAGAACAAATTTCTTGCATGACATTGTCGTTCCTATTAAAAAATAAAATGTAGCATAAAACAACAGCAAGGTAGGTGGTACAGGCTCTCCGAAAGCGGGCGTGCAAGGCGTGCACAGCACACGAGCGCACGATCAGTGGCATTCAGGGGGCGTCAAATCCAATGATCTACTACGTACGCAATCTTCAAAATTGTTGTCCAGCTTAAACAGAAAGTGTAAGAAAGAAAGAAAATCCCAACTCTTGCGGTGAGCAAACTTAGCGTTACCACCATCTATGGGCTTCCGTTGAGAATAAGATGCAATATCAAAGTTAACGCTTAATTTCAACCGACTCGCAATTCGACATTCGACTGTTGTTTTTTTATGTTTGTTATGTACTCGATTTCTCGAAGACGCCTGGACCGATTTCAAAAATTCTTTATTTGATAGGGTAGGCTTGTCACTTGGCCCCATTGTCATCAGGTCTAGATATGATGATGAGTTCCCAGGGAAACCGAGGAGAACTTTCAAAAATTATAGGGGCGACGAGTGCTTATTAATTTTTTCATTAAGTATTTAAACTGTCAAACACCAAGCGGTCACCGGTGACCGCAACCTATTGTTCTATAATTATTATTGTGTCTACAAAACCGGTACTCGACGAGTTAAAACCACTACAATCTGATAGAGGTATTTTTTTAAGTGGGGAAAATCATCGAATGACTTCTCCGGCTTGGGTGAGGCGGGAGGGAGTGTAAGACTCTTACTGACTAAAACCACCCCGTTCCTACTCCTGCACTTCGAGCCGGAGCCTCGGCAACCCGTTAGGTTCTCCGCGGCTCCAATCAGCCCTATTGGACCCCATCTGTGGTGATCTGATGGCTCTTTGAGGCACGCGCGGAACGTAACGCGCCGTACTCTCGGGAATCTGATAAAGGTCTGGAGTCGATCTAATGATGAAGCCGAGAGCCAGTCGAAGGAACTCATTGAGGATTTACACCCCCATGTTTGGGCTTTTGTTTAAATGAGAACTTTACAGCCTGATTGTAGTTGACTGAGTCGACTAGCCTGATAATAGGAAATATGCGAACAACTCCATCAGCAAATATAAGCCATATAAGGGCACATACTGCCGCTCGCATATTAACTGCAGCTGAGCCGTCGTCAGTTCACCTACCCGTAGATTGTTTAATATATCGATAAAATTGGCATCATTACGCTGCCACATATTATAGACAGTTCAAAAAATGAAATGATCCCTGACTGTACAAAACACCAGTGTCCCTTTACAGGAGGTGGTTGAAAAATGACACCGAAAACTAGAAACTAGAACTCCGCCGAATAGCTTTTGATTTTTTTTATATCTTGTAATCTAAGGTGTATCATTCTCAGATGCTCATAAATAGGACACTATAGAAATTTCATCTATGATGACCCAATTTACGTGGCGCCATTTACGCCTTTCGTTCTCGAGCCTTTGCACAGTAATTTGCTTGTAAGTCATAGTATTTCGTTTCTCAAATTGGTAATAAGAAAATACTATGAAGTGTTATGCCAAAAACCTGACGAGCAGCAACCCCAGTCAATGACCCAACTTCTACAAATTAATTCGAGCATCTACCGTGGGTAACCACGCTTGATGTAATCCACGATTAATTTAAAGAGAAACGTTTTGCCACTTCCTGCACCGCCAGTTATGAATAATAGAACTTGACTTTCTAGACCTTCCAAGTCCTTTTCAATTCCTGCTGAATCTTTTGGAACAGATCCTTTTGCTGAATATTTAGTCCATGAATATTGCGTAGGAAAAGTTCATTAGACATGACGGTTTGTTATCCCACGTCTTCACAAATTCCTCGTTTGCGATCTGTACACCGACACAAACTGTGGCAACTTCGCCATCATCATTTTCACGTGCATGACACGTTGTATCATTCGTTCGACATAACCGATTTCTTCAGCACTAATATTACCTTGCAACGGGCGAAGGTCTCCCTGGCGCCTTATGACTGTTTTCTGCTGTTTCATTTGCCGCAAGTAATTCACAAAACGGTATGTGGCAGACGATTAGACTGTAATATTTCCTTATCACTGTTTACTGTGTTGTACCGGGTACGCAATACCGCTGGCTTATTTCTTACACGCATCCTTCTATGATCTTGTATAATATTTATAAGTAAAAAATAAGAAAGAAATAACCGATTCGGTAGAATGTATGAGAACTATCCGTAGTACCTATTGTAACTACATTCTGACAAATAAATTTTTCTTTAAGAAAGAAAGAAAGAAAGAAAGAAAATCCATTTATTTTGCTACGACACACAACAAGAAATTAGAAATACAAAAAAAACGTATGGTGCGTCGCAGCGCAAAAGTTTGTAAGTCTTTTCTTTCTTTCTTTAATGTTATAATATTTTACCTTATGGGTGATATGGTGGGACTTTTCGTCCCGTAGTTTCACATCACCATCATCCTCTGACTATGTCGTGCTTGACACTGTATCAACGGATGGGAAATTCCGCAATGCTTAAATCCTCGAGCTCGGTAGGGTGTAACATGTAACGGTCAAAAATGTTATTGTAAGTATATATGTACTGATCTCATCACTATCAAATCTTAAAAGTCTGAAGCGTTTCTCCGGCCTGCAACTATTAACAAACACAGTCTTTCGGTACGACATTTTTAAATGCAAATGACATAGTCTGTATGGACATTCTGGTGCGCTCACCACCTTCTTGTCATTTAGCTTTCGATATAGCGTCTCGTGCCACCTCACCATCATCTTGTGGTTCGCATTTACTAGCATATTTAGCGACGGTAATAGACCACAGCACTGTAACTACCACACAGTTGTATGTCAATATTCGCCTTACATATAGACTGTCATACATATAGAATTATTAATAATTACAATGCAGTCCTTTTATGTACTATTAATGAAAGTATGTTAACAATGTTTCTGTTTAGAAACGTTGTTAGCAGTGCTTCATCTGGACATCGCGGAGAACCTAACGGGTAACCGGGGCTCCGGCTCGACGTGCAAGAGAAGGAACGGGGTGGTTTTTAGTCAGTAAGAGTCTGACACTCCCTCCCGCCTCACCCAGACGGGGGCAGTCATTCGATGATTTTCCCCCCTTAAAAAAAAAAAAAAGACAACTTGTATTATCACTTGCTGGTTTTGGAAAACCAAAGCGACAACCATTGTCTTGGCGATTTTTTTGCATGTCTGTGTGTATTTATAGATTTGTAAATCCTCAACTACTTTTCACAACATGAGATTATTAGGGTTTAACGAACATGAAACCACCTTCTCAATTACCTCTATTTCTTGTAGTGTCCAGAATTTTGAAACATTAAGTAATATACCAAACTAGCATGTATACCGGTAGGTAGCGCCCCAAATCGTATACCAGTATACTTAGTCGTTTGCTATGAAAGACATGACTTGAAGAATCCTACTACTCGCCGCCCACTCCTGGTTTATGGCGCCTCAAATCCAATGCAAGAAACC